CTCTTCCTCCGGAAACTCTCCTTGTCACTTAACCAACATACCTCATGATGACGGAATACACCAGCCCAGTAGTCAGCACTTCGGTGTTGACATGCATATCAATTATATGGTCATTTTTATTAATTTCCTGTTTATAAAAATATGAATTTTTCGAAATATTAAGGATTTTCTTATCCCATGCATAGATAACCTTAGACGTATTTGGTACAACTTTTTGGACTTTTGGGTCCTTAATGCTCTTCAACTTGTACTTGTTTGGCTTTATAACTATTTTGATCTGAGCGTCACTGATGAGTCTTGTATAGACGAAACGCGCGTCTGGCGTATTAAATTATAAGCATGGTACCTTTGATAACTATTAGACACAACTACAGCTATAAAAGAGGGACGAAAGATACCAGAGGGACAGTCAAACTCATAGATTGAAAACAAACTGACAACGCCATGGCCAAAAATAAAAGACAAACAGACAAATAATAGTACAGATGCTACAACATAGAAAACTAAAGACTAAGCAACACGAACCCCACCAAAAACTCGGGGTGATCTCAGGTGTTCCGGAAGGGTAAGCAGATCCTGCTCCACATGTGGCACCCGTCGTGTTGCATATGTTATTACAAATCCTGTAAATAGTCTAATTCGGTAGATCACATTCGTGAAAAGGGAAGGGTATTGTAGTTACGACATAAGGAACATATCCGATATCATCTGTGAAACGGTTATTCCATAACGGTCAACCAACTCGTGATGGCGTCCGTAAAATTTACGAAGGGATGATTTTAACTTCACCATTTGGAACTCTTGGTTTAATAGCTTCCTTGTGAGCAGCAATCCTCTATCAAGGAAATCATGATAGGAAATACAAGCCCGGGAATATCGTATCAATTGGGAGATATATACTCCGTATGCAGGCGCTGCTGGAATTTTGCTACATAGAAATGGAAAGTTCACAATTTGGAAGCTGAAATCATCTCTTTTGTCGTAAAGTTTTGTTTTCAACCAACCCTCATTGTCAATTTACAGATGTAAGTCAAGATATGAGGCAGACTTAACTGTATCTGTAGTATCCTTTATCTCTAGCTCGATGGGATAGATTCGTTCAACATAGGCACCAAGTTTTGTATTATTTAGTGAGAGAACATCATCTTTATAGCGGAACGTAAAGTTAAAGGATATTGCTACCTTCGTATCTTTCTTCCTAAGAAGTTCCTGTATGAAGTCAGCCTCATAATAATAAAGAAACAAGTCGGCAAGAAGAGGGGCACAATTGGTTCCCATTGGAATTCCGACAGTTTGTTGAAAAACACGTCCTCCAAACGTAACAAATATGTTGTCAATCAAGAAATCAAGCATCTTGATAATGTCAGTTTCAGAGAATTTTTCGTTTGAATCAGAGTGATTCTTTACAAAGTAGGATTTATTCCTTTCAAAGACAAGATACTTGTATCTACGTTCGCCATTCTTTTTAATGAAGCAAAGTAATACCAACTCTTTCAATTTTTCTTTTAGTTTGGAATGGGGAATATAGTGTCATATCAACAGACCTCTACTATAAACCTACAGATAAACATTAGTACCTTTCTCCCTAAAGCTGTCACCCCAAACACTGTACAAAAAGTATTCCGTACAGTCAAGCTCTCAGTGTAAAGCGGATTTGCCCCTCTTAGGAGGCTGTCACTAAACGGTTACAGGAACTTCGCGGATTTTTGACCAAACGAGGTTATAAGAAATGGAACATAGATAAGGGGTTTGCGCGTGCTTACAATAATATCTGCAATGACCTATTACAGTACAAACAGAAGAGTCACAGCAAAATAGTTCCGTTTGTTTTAACATACAATCCCGCCTTTACTAACCTTTCACGTTTGATTTGTGCCAAGCACCCAGAATTATCCAAGATCTTTCCCGAACCTCCTGTCTTAGCTTTTCGGAGACCAGCAAGTCTGAATGACTTATTTATGAGAGCTGACGTCTCCTCTAATAAAAGCGGTTCAACTGCAGGATGGTGCAAGTCGTGTGGTAACAGACGAAGTCTGACTTGCCAACAAATACTGAATACTCAAACATTTACTTGCCACTCCACTGGTCTGTGTACACTATATTTTGCAATGTAACTTGCAAAACCCAGAATGTTGTATACCTTCTTCAGTGTCGATGTGGCATGCAGTACGTTTGCGAGACAGAGCAGCCATTCAACAAACGCATGAATGGCCATCGAAGTGACTACACCTGCAAGCCCGACCTCCCCGTAAGTCGTCATTTGAGATCACATGGGCACGCCCATGCTGATCTCAAAAACCTTACCATCACAATCATAGACCTCAACGAGGGTTGGTCAAGGGCCGACAGATTCGCTCGGGAAAGGTTTTGGATAAGAAAGCTAAGGTCAGTTTCATCAGAGGGCATAAATGAAAAAAACATCTCGTCCTTTTTCTAAAAAAGTTTCCGTACCAAGACCTTGTTGATAAATATTACGACGCTGTTTATTATCTTAATAACGTGTTAAAGTGTTTTTTTATTTGTCTTTATTAATACTACTTTTACTGTTTGGTCTATTTTTGGTGATATACATTTGACGTGGGTCTGTACTTATGCATCCCGTCATTGTGTTGTTTGTATTATTTTTCATTTTTACTTATCGGCTTTGTCCGTGTGACTTTATATGTTTCTTTGATACATATGACGTGTCTCTGTACTTTAAACATCCCGCCATTGTGTTATTGTTCTATTATACTTTTTGCATACTTTGAACTACAAAATTATTTTATATCTCTACCTGTGTGACATTTACATTCTGACGTCAAACACGCGATTCTACGCCAGAGTTAATGTTAAAATTACGATTCGGTCCCAGTGCTTAAAAATCCCTTTATTCTTTATTGGTTGATTTGGCATACATAAATAAAATACAAAAATAAGTAAGCAATGAACAAGGTTGCTAATTGTGATATATGTTTTTTTGTGCTTCTTTGTTAAATATTTGTTTGTTTTTGTTGTGATTAAGATTGTGACACGGTGTTGACTGCTGTACCCCTATTTTGACATTTATACCTTTCTTGTCTGTTTGTTTTATTCACGCATCGTTGTCAATATAATGTAATTTGATACCGTTGTCAAATTTGAAATATTATACTAGCCTGGATCGGTCAGTGCTGTTTATTGGGAATGTATTTCCACGCAATCGTTGTTGTAACATCTTAACTGTCGTCACCTTTGAAATTTTAGAGTTGTACCAGTTCAAATCGCACATTACTATTTTTATTTGAAGCATATCTTTGATGTCTCTGTTGTAAATAGCTAAACCTACGTCATGTTTAAAATTTTTAGAATTGTACAAGCGTCTCTATGATGTTCAGTCTTGACTGCTTTATTGTATAAATTTCAAGATTGTTATAGTTTTATAATCAGACTAGATTGATATGATTCATTTTGCATCGTGATCATACTGATGAAGGATATCTGTTATCCGAAATATATTTAACATTTGTTCATTTTATTATTATTATTTTTTGGTGATGTTGTACCCTTTTAGACTTGTTATACAATATATTTTGTAGCATACTGTATCATATTTATATGATCCATCGCCCCGTAAGATTTGTCGTTGGCTATTATTCATTTTATATATATATATATACGTTTCGATTCCTAACATCACTGAAGAGACATTAATTGTCGAAATCCGGATATGGTGTACAAATTTTTGCACCTCATGTTTGCGGTATACCATCTTTTCCGCAAGTTTATTGTTTTCTGTTTGGTAATAAATTAATGATAAGATCTATTTTGTTACATCTTGTGATCCGTTTATTTGGCAATCGCCAATGGCAGTCAGCAGAGTTTAAGAACATCAGTTGTTCGACCTGCTAGTGAAATGCGTTTTGTTAAAATTTACTTTTTCACTCATTTGGTCTTTTGGAAAATGGTGTTTGTGCTGTATTTAGACCCCTCTACCAAGAAATTTGTTTTTCATGCACGAGTATAAAAATGGCGGTTTTTGTCCAACGCAATCAGAGGTTTGAACGTTTTTTTCAATTTAGACTTGTATATATAGGTTTATATGATCCGTTCATCCTATTTTGACTCTTTCAAAATTCAAGAGTCTGTCCTAAATTATGGTAAATTATATGGCCTTCCAAATACCGTTTCGATTCCTTACATCACTGATGAGACATTAATTGCCGAAATCCGGATATGGTGTACAAAGTTTTGCACCTCATGTTTGCGGTATACCATCTTTTTCGCAAGTTTATTGTTTTCTGTTTGGTAATCAATTAGTGATAAGATCTATTTTGTTACATTTTGTGATCCGTTTATTTGGCAATCGCCAATGGCAGTCAGCAGGGTTTAAGAACATCAGTTGTTCGACCTGCTTGTCAAATGCGTTTTGTTAAAATATACTTTTTCACTCATTTGGTCTTTTGGAAAATGTTGTTTGTGCTGTATTTAGACCCCTCTACCAAGAAATTTGTTTTGCATGCACACGTATAAAAATTGCGGTTTTTATCCAACGTAATTATAAGTTTCAACGTTGTTTTCAATTAAGACTTGTATATATATATATATATATATATATATGTGTGTGTTTGTTTGTGTGTGTGTGTGTGTGTGTGTGTGTGTGTGTGTGTGTGTGTGTGTATGTGTGTGTGAGGGTGTGTTTGTGTGTATGGGTATGTGTGTGTCGAATGTGTTGTTATACATAAAAATTGTGCTTCAAATTCGTAAAGAATGTAATCCATAGAAAGCAACAATTTGTGTTAAACTTTTCAATGAAATCTTCTATTAGTGTTTTAAAATGATTAAATTTGATAATAATCGACATTTATTTTAAAAAATAATTAAAAAAATTACTTAGAGTAATAAAATAAGAAGGTCCGGTTCTATTCAAAAATTTCTTTCTACATTTATTCGACACACTATCTTGAAATACAATACATAGACAACGTACATTAGATTATGTATTTAAATCGCCTACGTCATATTTTTTTTGCAACAAAAACATTCTAAGTTAATGCTAGTATACGGGTGGATGGTTCTGGTTATATAAGCAGGATTTTTAGAAATTTTATAGTGCCTATAACCAGAATAGAGTTGTAGAGAGAATGATATAACCGAAAAACACAAGAAAGAAAAGGCATTTACTATTTGTACAGTTAACAACTTTTCATTTGTCTATAATTTTCAGTATGAAAATAACACTGTTTTATGTTTTTATATTTTGGACTATTTGTTTGATCACATCGCATAAAATTCCATCGCAGTATTTGAGTAAGTAGAAAATTTTTTATTCTAATTTAAATGTCAAAAATGAAATTTGAAAAGAGGTATGATATACTGTGGATTCATTTATTTTCGTGGGTACCAATTTTCGGGGTTTGAGGAAAACTTGTGTATTCGTGGATATTTGATTCCGTTGTTTTGCCAGAGTCTACATACAAGTATATAGATAATTGGCACTTCGTTGAAAATCTAATTCGTGGTTTACCAATACCCACGAAATCTTCGAAAATTGATATCCCAAGAATATTAATGAATCTACAATATACGATATAATGTAAAAATGCAGTGGTTCAAATAAAATAAAATTGAGAATGGAAATAGGGAATGTGTCAAAGAGACAACAATCCTACCAAAGAGCAGAAAACAATAGAATATCACCAATGGGTCTTCAACACAGCGAGAAAATCCCGCACCCGAAGTCGGGCTTTAGCTGGCTCCTAAACAAAAAATGTGTACTAGTTCAATGAAAATGAACTAAAATTAAAAAACATAAAAGACTAACAAATTAAATAAAAGTTTTTTACGCATCCACATCAATTCAATGTATTATCTTTTTGTTTTGTGTGTCCGCGTCCGTGTTATTCGAATTGATCATCTTTTTGTATTGTGTGTCGGCGTCCGTATTATTTAAATGGATAATCTTTTTGTATTGTGTGTCGTCGTCCGTGTTATTTAAACGGATCATCTTTTCGTATGTGTGTCCGCGTCCATGTTAATCAAATGGATCATCTTTTTTCGTATTGTGTGTCGGCATCCGTGTTATTCAAATGGATCATCTTTTCGTATTGTGTGTCCGCGTCCGTGTTATTCAAATGGATCATCTTTTTGTATTGTGTGCCCTCGTCCGTGTTATTTCAAATAAGTTATCTTTTCGTATTATTTATTCACACCATTACAATGGATCTTCATTTTGAACTTGACCGCGTTATTCAGAAAATCACTTATCCGTTCTTTCTCATTTGGGTATTAAGATAAAACGCAATACAAATCTCCCGTCTTTATATTGGATATCTAACACGTCTAAACTGTACAGTTATCTTTTAACAGAACGATATATAGCCAGGTTGCTAAACTGTTAGACAAATAATCAAATAACCTACAGCCATTCTTTTACGAGTAAAAGATGGCTTTTAGAAATATGTTGATCAGATATATTCAACCAGCGGTGTCAATCAGAAGATTCATAAAAAAGGTTTACTGCAAACTCTTAAATCACAATCTTTGCAATTTTGCAGAAACATCAAAACTATTATCCATGCTCAATTGAAAGATCCAATACATCACCTCAATACAGAGAGCTGTTTTTTAAGTTTAGGTTTCTAGAAACACAGGAATTGTTTAAGGTCATAAACATTTTTACTTTGAAAAGAAAACGTTCCGATTAAAAAAAAAAATAATAAAAAAAACCAACAAAATAAAAATAAAAAAAAAAAACAAAAAAAAACCAAATACACTAAAGATGACATCATCAGTATGCCGGACTTTTTGATACTTGTTTAGTTTGTTGGAATACTTTTTTAACATAGAGTCGATATTCCAATGAGTACTAATTGTGCAACTCTACAGATTGAATTGTTTTTACTCATAAGCAGAATTCATATATAACCTCTGGAAACACAAAAAGAAGAAGTCCTGTCACTCAATAGCCCACATGTTAGTGAGTGCGTACATCACATATATCCAAGTGAACTTGATATTACGAATACTACCGAAACTAAAAGGTCTGCTTTATATATTAATCTCTTCCTTTATATTGACACATATGAATTCATTCAAACAAGAATATATGACACTTCTGACGAATTCAATTTTCCAATCGTCAAATTCTCATTTCTCATTAGTAACATACATTATGTCCCATCTCAATCGATACGTTACGCTCGTGCACGTTCACACTATACAGACTTCATAACCAGGTGTATGCTTTTTAAATGTTTATAATATATTTTAAGTAAGATTAAACATAGTATGATGCCTATGTTGATGATTTACAGTATAGAAACAATTTTAAGTCCATGCATAACTGGCCTTGATATTTATTGAAATAATTTTATGTTTTAAGTACTATATGGTTTAATATTTTTAAATTATAGTTAAACATAGTATCCTGCCTATGTTGCTGTTTTTACAGTAAAGAAACAATTTTATATCCATAGCTGACGTATATATTTCTTTAAATAAACGTTTTTAATGTAGTGATATTTTGTTTCTATGTTAAGGATTGCAATAACCCAGACAAAATTACACCGGGCAAGATATGACAGATTTGTTATCAGTTCTAGGTCATGATATTAACAAAAGAGCCAATTTAAAAGCTATTAAACAACAGAGTTCTAAACGTATTCATTGTTTTAAACGAAATTTACAAATTTGTTCTACTGAAAAATTGATTTAAACAGGATTACATTGGTAGAATGGTTTGCGATATTTTCATTGAACATACTTAAATAATTTAGGTATAAAATTCTATTTGTTTTGCATTTGTAATGATCTATTTCTAATAATGTTTTCTTTTATCATACTATATTGCTTGTTTTCATAGACAACAGTTTCCGAAATTTGATAAGTGGTGTCGAATTGGGTGGAGCTGATGATATTTTACGATATCTAGACGCAGAAAACCTGATAATCTGTTTACCATGTTATTTCTGGTCTTTTCTCATTCCCATTCATTCATTCAACGAACATATGGTTGAAACAGAAAACTATCCTTATATTAAATTGTACCAACGCGTGTCATCGGATGACCCTTGTATGACGTATTTTATCAGGAGAGAAAAGGATTATGTAACCATAATATTGTACGTAAATATAAAATTTAAATGTCCCTTAAAAAATGTAAGATGTAGTTTCTATGACTTGAATAAGTGTATACAACTTTTGAACAAAATAAGAATATCGCTGTGAATGTAAAAAAAAATCGTAAACTTTCACTTTTACTGTTATAACTTGCCATAGTAATTTAAACTTATACATTTAAAATGTAACTAACATGTCACCGCACACCTTTAAAACCATGTTTATTTCTAATCTTGGTATCTATGATGAGTTTTGTTTACCGACAAATCAAGTTAAACGAACTGTTATTTTAATGTATATAATATTAAAGTGAATACTCGGATATCAAGTATAAAGAACAATGATAAAAACCTGATACCAAGTGAATATTTAAATCAAACACCTCATGATTATTAACAGATATATTTAATTCGCATAGAACATGTACTAAATTTGTCAGTTTTGATAGATGATACTTGCCTTTAAATTATCATACTAGCGTTAAACTAAGACAACAGTTGTTATCAAACTGAGTTTGAATTCTGCAATCTAAAAAGAATCAATTCAAATTCCTAATATGTAATAGTTAGAAGCATATGGCATCAGAGATTAGTAGTGGCGAATCGAGACTATTTATTGGTTTTATATTCCTGTAAAAGTTAAGAAAAAAAATAAAAGTTCTAATTGTAAATGATAAATGCCACTCTGTGCATTAAAGGGGCATTAGCTGTCAAGTTCATACCACCAATTTGACTCACATTCTCAGTTGATTTATAACATAATAAAACGTATATCTTAAGTATAAAACGTCTAAAATGAACAATTCACGATGCATGGACTCACATAAAATGTATCAGCATATCGTGTGTATTTTAGTGTAGACACCATATAATTAACCACCCAGGCGACCTCGAAGTCTGCCGATGTCATATAACCCAACATAAACATAAATATAGATATAAAAAGATAGCGAACACGTGCAATAGGATTTTTCTAGGTCTGTTTGATTTCATAATGGTTAAAAATTTATGTTAAACATCGTTTTTACCTGTATAAGAATGAGTTTTTAAGGATCCAATCAGTCAACCTTTGTTTCAATTTCAATGCTGACATTCTTTTCTCTTTAATAGCTGAACACGCCTTGTTTATGCGTAACCCATCTCTAGCTAAGGGGTTAAATTGAAGGTCACATGAATACGGATTCAATGAGGTAGAATGATTCACTCGCAAGTGATTAATTCATCAGCAATGTTTCATAGCTTATTTTGACAATTTTACCAAAATGGCTGCTAAAAGCAAATTATAATTTCACTATTTCACTTTTATTTATGATTGAACCCAAAAAAAAAATCATATTTATTTTTTTTATATTTTGTAGATAATGCCCCTTTAACTTCAATTCTTCTTTGTAAAAATATATAGAGATAAAGATAAATGTTTTCGACAGAAACAAATGCATTTCAAGACACATGACAAGGCCATAATCTATGTCCAGTTTCATAATAACTTTTAATCAGATTTGTTGCAATGTAGCATATGTAGCTAAAGCTTATATGTAAGCATCTCTGTTCATTTAAAAAGATTATTAATATAAGCTTATTTGAGAGTGAAAATCTTCAGTGTACGTTATAAAATCGAATTTTCGTGACCATGAACGTCATTCTTAGATGTGTTCATTCTACAGAAAGTCTATAAGCAGATAATATATACGGAAAGCGTTTGATGAGAAATAGTTGATAGGCGTATCTTTTTCTATCCGAAAAAGGTGGATTTGTGCAATCATAGGTGCACATGAGTGTTAACAAAAACGTTTAATACAATTATATGTGTCTCAATTCATTATCAATATATTTATGTTTCTATCAATTTTAACTTAATAATAGTAAAACATCATGTTTTTAATAAAAGAAAGGAGAAAATATGAAAAGGCCACTTTTTTGCCTCTGGTGTTCGAAAAGAAATACTAGATAATCATAAATTTAATTAATAACATCCTTAAGATGATCACAAATCATTAATCTATCGGACTGAAGTATTTATATGTTTAAATTCTGTGTAACATATTGACGTTTAGTGCAAAACAACAAAAAAGTGCATAAAATGCCATATTTTAGATCTTTTCATTAATATTTAGATATGAGCAACAGCTTTACCCAACATGGTATTTTGTAACTAAATTTTAAACCAATGACCGAAAATACATTAAAAAT